TGTTCACTTCTTGGTCTTGGCCACGCCTTGCATGCCATTTCAGGTCTCGTTCACTTCTTGGTCTTGGCCACGCCTTGCATGCCATTTCAGGTCTCGTTCACTTCTTGGTCTTGGCCACACCTTGCATGCCATATTTGGCCTTGCCCTTCCTTACTCTCTTACCTGTCTCCTGTTCCACTTTGCACGCCATCTTCTTTGTCAAGCTATGCCTGGGGGTTCAGTTTTTATGGCAACTTGTGACAGACACTCCTAATTTGCTCATTTGATGAGCTTTGACATGTCTTTGAAATCATGTCCTTTTCAAATCCATCTCAGGCGGTAAAAGCCCTAATGATTTGATTGAGGCAATTCTCAACAATCACCCGCAGGAACAAACAGAAACAATACAGAGTAATTGGGCACTTAAGTTATTTTATTGCAATTTTAAGGGGCATGTTTCTCCCAAAGTCTGCTAAATGAATGGTGGCACCGGCCCAGGAAGGCCCACCAAAACCGCAATTATTGGCGATTTAAAAGTTTTCATAATCTGTGTTGTTTGACATAAAATGCCATGCCTCCAGCGACACTGTAAATGACAGTCGTGTTATTCGGCGAGTATTTTTAGTCCAATCCTGGACAGAAACGCACTTTAATCTTTAAATGATTTCCCTTCTTGTGGTCTTTAATGTTTTTCTTATGACTCTTTAATTAAACAGCTGCACTCAAAAAGAAAAGGGAACAAGTGTTTTGTTTTTTCTGGGTTAATAAAGTTCCATTTTTGATGATGTATCTTTCTGGCTTTACATGAAGCGCTGTGTTTAAAGGTGTGGCCCTCAAACGAAAAGCTGGTACCTCAAAGGGCCCGACTGCTTAAGTACCTACTTAAACTCATATTAAAGAAAAGGTGTGAGGCTGCTTAAAAGCATCTGCTATGTGACTGAATGAAAGGCTGCGAGTTCCCCATTAAACTATGCTAGACTTTAATTGTCCAGGGTCATCTTCACCGAGATATACATAAACAGCCATCCTCAGAAGTCAGGATAGAACGTCTCGCTGATGGAGTCCCTTAAAGCTCAGACTGAGCTGCCCTATATCTGTGTATCTGTGCTGTTACATCCTCTTCATATCCTACTTATGCTTATGGGATTTCTCTTGGTATCCATACAGTCGCTAATTGTTCCAACCCTTTGGGAGGCGTTCCAAATAGGTGTATGTATTCCAAATATACACGCATGCGTATACGCGTGTTGAGACTGTGTGCCTGTATTTCAAACTGACAGTCCCCCGAATCTCTAGGGTGGAGACTGTAGCATTATTATTATAACCACAAACCTAGGAGATATGATGGTGGCTGATTTAGTCATTTTTTAGTCATTTAGTCAATATATTCGTCAGAGTACTAACTATTTGGATACCATCTTATCATCATGGCTTCGGTTCGTTTACTGACTGCTTTTTCATGGCTTAACTAACTGAACTTCACTGAAGGAGTCAGATGCATTTGTTTGATTGACATGCTGGCTATATGGTGACATCACTAAGTCCCACCCACAGATCCGGTCCATCCTCTTTGAGCCTGAAGAGAGCACCGTGGCTCAAACCATCTCTAATATGGGTTTGGACACGGTTCAGTTGCAGCATCAAATAAGCTGTAACAGAGCCCTTCACACGGACCTAAACGTGGATCGATGCCTTCATTGAGCTACCATTTCTAATCTGTGTGAAGGTGCCTATATATATAGAGGTGTGTTGTGAATGGAGATCCTCTCTCAAATATGGATTTTAGGCCAGCCATGGTGTCCCAGTAACAGACTAGCTCTCCTTAGACAAATTCTCTGTTTATAGCCAGACAGAGCTGAGGCATGTAAGCAAAGTATCCAGCTGCCAAGTGTATTAATGTCAATATTATAGCATCTACAGTAACGTCTGGGTTGGTACTTACAGATGCCAGGAATGTATTAAATTCCCACATTTGTCGAATTTTGAACTCATACGCGGGCTTTTCAAGTGCCATTCTCCCACAAACCACAGAGCAGTACCGGAACGATTAAAGTCACGTCGTCGGTGACAAGCGTTTAGCCCTGTGAGTGTTTATCCCCCCCCCCCCCCCCTTTAAGGCCCAGCCTGCTGCACTAACCTCGTATGCTGCGATATTTTGACTTTTCGTTCCCGGGCAGCCGGTGTTGATGGATGAGTCACGGGGATGATTATTATCGAATTAAGGATCGTTTACGTCGAGGCAGGAAGTGCGGCGTGGGCCTCGGGGGCCGCATGGCAGCGTGCCGAGCGCTTCAGCGGTTCAGGGACCCTTCCTCCTCTTTCAACCTCAAGGACAAGCCTCCGCCTGGGGTCCTTGCCGATTCCCCTCCCACCCACCCAGCCCACCTCTCCCCTCCCATCCCATCCATACCCCAGGGCCCTGATGTCATTTTGCTCCGCTACTCTGATACGGCTCTTGTCTAGGGGAGGGAGACAGCAAGACTAATTTAGCTACTCTTACTTTTAGCGCCACCACTAACTGCTTGAACCACCTTTAAAGGCGTGTCTCCCCTCCACTTCCTGCCCCATTCGGTAACACCTGTGACCCAGACCACTGCGGCCCCGTCTGTGCGCCCATGTGTCACTTGACCACCCACGGTGTGATTCTGAGCCGCTACTCGTCCATTGGCCTGTTTCCCCCCATAGCGGGGGCCGGGGGGGCCATTCCGCCCCACCCAGAAAGACATTTCCAAAGGAGCGGAGACGACGACAAGCCCTCTGCTTTCCTGCCTGGCCGTTGCAGCCCCTCGGATGCATTAATCAGGTGGCTGCCGTCTGTGGCATGTTCCACTGATTTCAGTACATTGCCCCTGCCTTGCTCCTGCCCCCGCCCACCCCAGACCCCCACTCGCTTTCAGCAAGACCTCGTTCAGTGTCCTCTGCTGCTCGTCAGTCTTTATTTATTTATCCAGCGGATTTCGTCTCTGTAGATTTCCTAAAAAGTTGGAAAATGGGGGCAGGGGGGCAGGTTGCAGGCCCTGCACGGTGAGGAGTTCAGGTGTTTGTCTGGCGAGGTGTAGGAAGCCACCGCGGTAGTCCCTGGGAAATGCAGCACAAATCTCACCTGCTCACCAGGGTTGCGAATTCACCACCTTTAGGTTTTTTGATACTCCGGGAAGAGAAAGATCCAGAACTTGGTTTGCCTGCATTCCATCCACGGTGCTGCCTGTCACTGAATCATTCGCGGGTGAGCGGCGTGTTCTGAAAGGGCGGCAAGTCATAGTCCGTCCCGAAGGCCTTCTTCAATTTGTACGTCCTCATTTTGAGCGTGAAACTTTGAAACGTAGCAAAAAGCAATACGATTATATAGATTCTCACAGCTTCTTTAAGTAGGGAAGCGACCCATTAATTTGTTTTTAAGCTTCTTACAATGTATAACAAATGATGCGCAGTATATTTTATTGAGTTATGTTATAATTAAATACAAGCATTCTTTAAATCTGAAAATGTAAAGGAAATAATTGGTATGGAAGGAGCACCCGTGAGAGGGACGTCCGGAAATGGATGCCGCAGGGCAGCTTTGGCGCAGTGAGGCCACGCTGTGCATTTGCTGAGATGAGGTCCCCACTCGGAGATGCGGGAGGTCAATGGGACTGCCTTTTCTCTCGTCTTCGCGGTAAGCACCTGTCAGCAGTCGAGTGGCGTTGGGGGGAGGGTGGGGGTGAGTCCGCTGTCCATGGTGATGGCCCGATTTGCTGCTCGTTCGAGCGGATGTGTGGCGGACCGCCGGCGTTAGAGAAAGTATTAAAAAAAAAAAATGTGTTTTGTGTGTTGTCCTCGTGCGAGACGGTCACGTTGGGGATTAATATATAACGTTTCTGGGCCAAATCGGCACTGCCGTTTGTTTCCAGCCGTAATCCAACACATCTCTCAAGATGGCGTGGCTGCATCGTCTGAGCAGCCCAGACACTTTCTGGAACAATTTCTCATTTCATATATGTTTTTGTCCTGTTAATTATTCATTGGCCGGCATCATGCATGGGGCCTCTGGGGTCCGCGGATGGGAGCGCCCCCCCTCCCCCCTGCCTCCGGGGCAGATCTTGGTGGAGGGACGACCCCGGTAGTGGGGTCCGGGTACTGGGCCCCATGGTGTGTTCGCCGCTCCCGTCCTGGCGGCTGTCAGTCTGTAAAACCCACGTTCAGAGTCGGCAGGCGTCTGCAGATAAGCCCAAGGAAGACTCAGGCGGGCCAGTCCTGGATCTCCAACGCAGGGCTGTGCAGATCCTCCTATGGTGCCCCCCTGTCCGTCTATCTGTCTGTCTCTGTCTGCACGTAATGCAAACAAACATTCATCCCCTCCTCTCATCATTCACTCCATCCTCCAGTTTTTTGTTCTTTCTTACTGACAGGCTGTTTTAAATCACAGGAGGGAGGGTTCAGCTCACCCAGTAACTGTAGAGCTTCTAACAGCACACCACCCCCTAGTGGCGATATCTTTGGGGAATGTAACTCAGAAGCGGGGGGCGTAATCGGGGGTAAAATAACTGTGCCAAAATAATTAAGTGACTGAAATAATTTCATTAAATGTATTTCCTTGATTGTGCTGAAAATCAGTTTATTGTGTATTTTTCACATTCTGATGTTTTTTTTAAAGGTAAGCTGCTGTTTCCTATAATTATATGGTTATAAATTTAAGAGTATGTATGTACTTGTTTGTTATGTACCTTCCTATTAGGCATCATGTACTGGTTTGTAGACATTAAGCTCTGTACATGCTGCTGCACGACTTTGGGACATTACCTTTCTAAAAATAAAATACTGGTGAAACTCTGGGAAATTAAGCAGGATTAAAAATGCATGCTGGTATATGTGTGTCACTGTGAAACCGGGGGGGGGGGGACCGCAGTGGCCATTAACCCCCTCTCCCAAGCTGAGCTCGCTCTCCCAGCATGCACCTGCAGTGATGTCCTGGGCTTCTCCTGTGTCTGGCTACAGGTGTTACCCCCCTTTGTGGGTGAAGCCGTGATACATTTCACCTTGATCTTGGGATTAGACCCAAAAGACTCGAGGATTTGCCTTGTGAGCTTTGGGTTTATTTTTTTTATTTTTCTTTCTGTTCTTTTTTGTCTTTTTATTCCATTTTTTGCAAGCTGATCTAAGCTGGGTTAGCGCAGCTGTCGATCCGCTAGCCAGCAAAGTATTTGATTCCTCTCCCCCATTTAAAAATAATAGACTGCTTTATGTCAGTGTGTCACAGGTAACATATGCAGATCTGGATTTGAGGTGGACCGGCCCAGTGCTGCTCCTTTTATGCTATTGGTTCTCAAACTTTTTGTCTGGAGATCCCTGAATGAACAGTGGTCAAGTCTTGTTGCCTTCTTTTATGCATTTAAATTCCCTCCCATTTATTTGGTATGCCCCCTTAAGGCAGGGGTGGCCAATCTTATCCACAAAGGGCCAGTGTGCATGCAGTTTTTTGGGATAACCTTTAGGTCAGCTGTTCAAACCCAGGTGTGAGGACTCTTCATCCAATCAGTCCTCTAATTAGTAATCTAATTAGGGAGTTGCAGCGAAAACCCGTATATGGAACTTCCCTCTCTGGATAAGATTGCCCACCCCTGTCCTAAGGGGTTGTACCCCACACTTTGGGAACTACTGATTACGAGCCATGTGGTGTTCATACCGTACAGAATCACGTAGAATGTTCTTGTTGCTTCCTGGGAGCAACGGAGACAAACATGGCCCATGTGTTCTTAACGATCAACATCACCATTAACACTGGAATCAGTAGTTTCATCAGTCATGGTGTTTCCCCAGCATCCCTCCCCCATGTCGCAAGTGTGTCTTGTTAAATTACCCAGACTGCCTACATTTTAATTGAGTATCTTTCTCTGTCTTCTGATCTCAGTCCAAAGCCAGAACCTCGTGACGGATAATGTCTCCGTAGTGGAGGGAGAGGTCGCAACCATCAGTTGCAGAATCAAGAACAATGACGATTCCGTCATCCAGCTCCTCAACCCCAACAGACAGACCATCTACTTCAAAGACGTCAGGCGTAAGTGCCACCTTTCCCCCCACCAGCACCTATGACCTCTTCACGCGGGTGAGCAATTATATTTCCAGGAGACGGTGAGATTAAAAAAATAAAAATAATAAAAGGAATCCTGGAAACCTCCAGCCGCCATCAGAAGCGCTCTTATTTTTCATGGTCTGCCTTGATCTTCAGAGATCTGACCGGTTTCGGCGATTCCCTGCAGAAGCGTGACCATTTCGGTGTTCCTTTGCAGCTTGATCGATGGGGGGGGGTTATCCATGGAATCCCAGCATGCTTTTCTCTGGGGGATACTGTAACAGGAAGTGGGAGAAAGGGAGGTGAAATAAATAACTGCACCAAAGCTATTGCTGTAGCTTTTGCTGTAGCTTGATAGCCTGGTTTTTGTGTTTTTGGAGCTGGAGTTGGAGTGGGTTGGGCAAAGTGGTCCACTGAGGGGTGGAGCCAACATAGAGTTTTTAGGCCATTACCTGGGGGGGGGGGGCATTTTGAATGTCCAGGGCCTCTGCCTAGGAATTGCCATGACGATCCTGGAAATCGGTTCATTTACCTCTCGTCAAAAGCATCTCCTCCAGTGCAATTGAATTCAGTAAATTTTTTTATATAGCGCCTTTCACAACCAAGTCTCCCCAAGGCACTTGACAAGACTGTCCGGCAATCCGGTAACTACGTTGTTTATGTAAAATGTTATGTGAAACAAAGACAAGGGGGAAGAGGGAGAGAAAGAATGCCGGAAGACAGCGAAGGAGAGGAACCAAATACTCACGATTAAAAAGAAAAAAAAACTTTTGGGGGGTCCAAGGTCCGCTGACTGGCCAACCCCCCCAGGCATGCTAACATCGCAGCTCTTTCAGCTCAACAAGTAGAGCATTGTGCTCATTATGTGAAGGTTGCGGGTCCAAATCCCATTGAGCACAAGTAAATTGTTACCTTTTCCTCTACTGCAAGTCGCTTTGGATAAAAGTGTCAGATAAATTAGTGAATGTGAATTATAGACACATTAAGTAATTAGGCAGGAGTTTATTTATTTGCTGTGATGTTGCAGGACGGTTATCATGGCGTCCGTTCGGACAGCCACTTGGTGAGCCATGTTACACGGCGAGTATCTCCTACTCCATCGTTTCGTTGTTGTGATATACTTAGGGGGCTGTGTCACCTGCTTCCTTTGCGGCAGGTAATTATCCCTCTTCTGCTTAAAAAAAACCTTGATGGGCTTGTTTGATGTGGCCTCTCCCAGTAATCAGAATTGATTGTGGTTATTTAGGATAAACAGCACATCCCCAGGGGACTCCCCGGGCCAAACCTATGACAGCATCCAATGAAACGCAGTGGGGGCGTGGCATAAGCAACTATTAGCCAGGGGGAGACTCAGCTGGACAGAGGCTGTTGTGGATCCAGGGAGTCGCCCAGGTTGCTTGTTTGTTTTTGTTTTGATTTGCTTTTGTTCGATTTGATTTTATTTTTACTTTGTTCAGGAAAAGTGAGAGGAAGGAATCATCCCATTTGGAAGAAATCATCCCTAAGTGAACAAGACAAATCAGTGGCATATTTACGTGCCTGTCGTAGATCTTCCTAATGCACCTTTTTTAAAACGTGTGCCCAAGGGCGTTCCCTGAACAAACAGTGCGCCGGTTATTCTAGACAGGCCTTGGAAATCCATGCGGGATAAGAAATTATATATAGAGAGATTACCAAAGGGAAAAAAAAACACTTAATATGATGGCTTGGCAAGCTTTCAATACGTCACACTGAAAACTGTGCGGTATTACCATTATATTAACAGTAGATTAGAACGGTGTGACGTCAAGCGAACAATGGGAATTGCAGGAGTAATAAGCATTCGGCACAGCCTTGTTCAAGTTTCTGCCAGAGATGAAAGCGGAAGAAAGCATCTTGGTTTTTTAGGAATTGGATGGAGGGCAGGAGGAGTTCATTGGGTGTTCATTCGATGTCCAGCTGACAGGCACCTGTTGCAGAAACTGCTCCTCTTCCCTCCTCCTTCCAGAAAATGGACGGAGATGGTTCATCTGCAAGGGTGCCCTTCCTCACGAGCGCTTTCTCCCCTCAACGCTGCCGATCCATTATCCTGTCCCACTGGCAATGCGCTGTGGAACCAGCCAATGGACTTTGACTTTGTTTTTCATCGTGTCTTTCTTCCCGGTGAATATTTTGGCACTTGTCGCTTTCTTACTGCCATTTTCACAGTTATTAAGCCTCAGTGGGTAACTCATCTTGGACTGCAACCCCATTTCCAAACAAGTTGGGACACTGTAAAATGTAAAAAAAAAAGAAACTGAATGCAATGATTTGCAAATCATATAAACCCATATTTAATTGAAAATAGAATAAATACAACATATTACATGTTGAAACTGAGAAATGTTATTGTTTTATGCCCAATTTCAATTTGAGCCCAGCAACACATTTCAAAAAAGTTGGGACAGGGGCTTGTTTACCACTGTGTTGCATCACCTCTTCTTTTAACAACATTCTGTAAATGTTTGGGAACTGAGGAGATCAGTTGCTGGAGTTTTGAAAGTGAAATGTTGTCCCATTCTTGCCTGATATAAGATTTCAACTGCTCAACAGTTCGGGGTCTCCTTTGTCATAATTTTCGTTTCATGATGTGCCAAACGTTTTCAGTGGGTGACAGGTCTGGATTGCAGGCTGGCCGGTCAGGCATCCGGACTCTGCTTCATCGGAGCCATGCTGTTGTAATATAGGCAGAATGCGGTTTGGGATTGTCTTGCTGAAATATACAAGGACTTCTCAGAAAAAGACTTTGTCTGGATGGCAGCATATGTTGCTCCAAAGCCTGTATATATTGTTCTGCATGAATGTTGCCTTCCCAGATGTGCAGTCTGGTATCTGAACCATCCACTGATAATAAGTTAGATGGTCCCTCTGCTCTTTAGCCCAGAGGCCACGGCGTCCATGATTTCCTAAAAGAATTCGAAATTTTGATTCATCAGATCACAGGGCAGTTTTCCATTTTTCCTCAGTCAATTTTAAATGACTCCTTGGTGCTCATGGTGGAATCATTCTGCCTTATTCCCCCAACAGCGGTGCCATGGCTGTCATGTGTCGCTTCTCCCTTCAAACCCCCCCCCCCCCCCCCACCCCAAAGATGGCCATCTTTTTCACCATGCCCAGCCACATGTGGGTGTCCCCTCGCTCGCCAGGAGGGCCTGGCATTCAGACAGAATGTCATTACGGAGAGGTACTCTCCGGAGGGGGATCATCCTGCCGTGTTAGTAACCTGTATTTTCTTCATTCCTGTCCCGTTCCCTTTGCCGCTGATTGGAACACCTGAAGACGGTTCTTAAAAATGACAACTGACTATTTGTCAAGTTGGCTCTGTCAAATCCGTGGTGGCGGCCCGGGCATTACGGACCGCTATGCAGCTTCTCTGTTCAAAACAATACAGGAAGCTGCTCTCACTGTCATTCAGCGCCATCCTCCTCCCTGTCACCACCTGTCTCTGTTCTTCGCTCATCCTTGGGCTGCTGCCCCCTCTCCTACTCTTGTCATTTCCGCCAAAACAGCCGCTGGATGCTGGCAACTCCCCGGCAGAAATGACGGCTCGTCACCGGACTTTTGGCGTTCAGATTCGCGCATCCGGTGGAAACCGCCTAGCCACCCCCACCCCCCCCCTTAATGGGGAGTATCATGCTGAACATGATCGTTAGCCGGCATTCAAACGGGCGGCTGCTCATCGTGGTTCAATTCGGCAGATGCTCAGGGGGTTGCTCACCTGAGACCTTCCTGCTGTGTTCTATACGTCACCATCAGCTGGATTTGTGCTCCGGGAAATATCTTCTTTTTAAACTTGAGAAATCTAGGAAATTGCTTTTCCCCTTTTTTTGTTTGTTTGCTTGTATGTGACAGCTGATGACAAACAAAAGTTTTCACTCCCTGTACATACATACATAAAGGAGTTTTATTTTTTTTTTATTTATTTTTTTTAAGTAAACAGCCGGTGTTAAATTCAGCTCTTCCCACAGCGGCTTCTGAAGCTTACTGTGCCAGACCCTCCAGGACGTGCATTTCTGATGAATGGGGGTGGATTCAGCTTTTCTTCATGCCACTAGCGCTCGTTCCATTAAACCTGACATTTCGGTTATTAGTGTTTTTATAATGATTTAATTATTCTCATTATTTGCACCAGGCTTCAGTCACAATAGATTACAAACGGCATCGTCTCCTTAGTTTTTTTTCCCCCTCCTTTTTGGTTTTAATCCCTCCGCATCTTCCAATCAGTAAATTGAATTAAATCGTTAGCCGCGACCACCCTTACCATGACAGCCGGTGCCAGCTTTCACGCCGCACGCCGTAATTAGCCCAATGCTATTCCCGCATGGCACAATCACCATGGCTCCGCTAATGCTAATCAGCTAACCTAAGCCCTGCCATCACTTCCCAACCAGCTCCAGGCTCCTCCTCACCTATCACTTCCATTGCCTAAGTTTCAGTTGATTATATAAAGCTGCTAATTCAGTTAGTACCACGGCACTGTTGAATTCCGGCATCTGATTGGTCAGTAGGGCGTTGATTTATGTTCTGTAACTGCACACATAGTACCAGCCAGATGAATCACAGTAGTAAATAACAGCACGATTATAATCTTTAATTCTGACTGAAGTTACTCAAAATTACAGAAGGATAACGCGATTTAAAATGAACAGAAACTAAACAGAAATGTTTAATCAGTGGCGGAAAGTAATTCTAATAAACGTGTGTTTAGCCCATAAACATGAAAGTAATGTCTTTATGTACAAACATCCAGCCAAATGTGTCGTTACCGTGGCATAAATGGGTTAATGCACTCCAGGCTGTGCATTGTATGTTTTTGAACGCGCTCTGCTTCTCATCAGGTGGTTCTTTGGCTCCGCAGCCATGCGTTTACGAACGTATAATGCACAGCTTGTCGTGCATTAACCTTTACTTATTAAACCACCAGTCTGAGAAGGGAAATGGAATTATATGTAAGCCGGATTTGTAGCTACCCATTTGTCTGGCCTGGTCCATCTCACGGAACAACGGGGTGTGACCCATTCCTGAGGGTGTGCACCTAATGACGAGGCCCAGTCCGCCTCTGAGGTGTGACCAGGATTGGGACAACAGGAGCGCTGGCTATAGCTTAAAGCTGATTGGCCCCGCACTGCCCCAAACCCCTGTCACTCACTGATTCAAAAAATATCATTGGTACATAAAAAGTTTGGTCCTTCTGTATAAATTATGGCCCCTGTTATATCCCCCCCCCCCCCACCTAAAAATAATCCTTGGGCATGACAGTGGCGGGGAGACCAGAGGGAGGAGACAACTTCCACATTCTCAGCCTCCATAAAGGACTAAATTATCCATTTTTCTCCAGTATTTTTTTCTTTCCGTCTGGCTGACTCTTTCCGCCCCCCCCCCTCCCCACGCCTTGTGTGCGTGTCTGTCTGTCTTTTTTTGAGGGTGGGGGGGGGAATAAAGACCATCGCAGTCCAGCTGGGGGGGAAATGGCGCACTTAGATCAGCTTACCGCCTGGCTGTGCGTTTTAAGAGAACTCTAGCCCCGGAACACGTCTCCCCAAGGAGGAGATATTCATTTAATTCTTTTGTTTATTTATTTATTTGCACCCGCTGCCTTTGAACCGCGCAGACGCCGGTGAGAGGGGATGCGGGCCGGAAAGCTTTCAGTGCCGCGGATTGTATGCGTCGATCAGAATTCAATTTATTGGGGGGAGGTGGGCTTTCATCTCTCCTGGGCTTTCACGCTGCTTGCCGTCCTCGGACGAAAAACAAGGCTAATGGACTCATCATTATTCTGTTTGGGGGTTGTGGATGGGGGAGAGGCAGTCCAAAAAAGTGTATAATTTTAGAAGTATATCACCAGTTCATCTCCTAATTATGAGCGAAGCCATGAAGAGTAGCTGGTATTGGACAACTTCCTTCTTTTGGGGTTGGGGTGGTGTCTTCATGAGAGGTTTCTGTTTCGTTTGAGTTCACTATGTTTGTATGATTATGATGATGAATTTGGGTAAATGTGAATTCAGTTTATGTCTTTGTTTAGCTGTTTGATGGGATGGGGGGACAGTAACTGTGAGGCCTTCAAGGGAGGCCAATGCATCAAACTCCGTTTCTGTGTCCTTGTTCCCTCAGCCTTGAAGGACAGCCGCTTTCAGCTGGTCAACTTCTCGGACAATGAGCTGCGGGTGTCCCTGTCCAACGTGTCACTGTCGGACGAGGGCCGCTACGTGTGCCAGCTTTACACTGACCCTCCCCAGGAAGCCTATGCCGACATCACTGTCCTGGGTAAGGCGCCACTCTTAAGCTATCTAGGTGGGCACGTGTTCCAGCAACCCCTGGAGCAGTTGGGTTTAATGGTCAAGGGCCCAACAGTGATACAATAGCCATGGGATTCAAACTGGTGACCTTCTGCCCAGAAATTCCTATTGATTCTAATTGACTTCTACCCCATAGAACCAGACACTACCATCTCCCATTGCACATTTACTTCAAGAACCTTAAGACTGAATTCAGTTCATTTTATACATATAGTCAGATGTTTAGCTTGGAAGGCTAGGGTTGGACATCCGTGCCCATGTTTCAAAGGTTGTGGGTTTTAAATTTTTTAAGCAGTCATATCACTGTTGGGCCTTTGAGTAAGACCCTTAATCCCACTCCCTGCTCTCTGGCCCCAACACTTGCTCTCATCTGTATATACATGTGTGTGTTTGTCTTTTCTGGAAAGCAACATGGGAAATGCAGAAGCAACCCTGTAATACAACCCCGTGCCGCTAGTCTCTGGTGCCTGCTGTCAGACTCTAACTCATCACATGTCAAGTTGGACAACATGTAATTGTCTGGAATCTCGAACACGCAGTGGCAAGAAATAAACAAACAAATAAAAAAAACAACAGAGACGGAATGCCACCTCTCGGTCCCCACAATGGCGATCCCACTAATCCTACCTCTTGTTTGATGTTAGTCCCACCAGGCAATCCAATCATCGAATCCCGAGAGGACATTGTCAGCGAAGGGAACGAGACCGAGATGATCTGCACTGCCATGGGCAGCAAGCCCGCTTCCACCATCCGATGGATGAAGGGAGACAAGGAGCTACAAGGTTCGTTCGCAAAGGGCACGAGCTCCTGACGCTGTTACGTTTGGTGTGAGGATTCCTTGTTTGTTTCCGTGATTGGCTAAGTGGGCGTGGTCTGTAATTATCCTGGTGATAGCATGGAACGTCTGAGTTAGGAAGCAGGACTTGCTGCCCGTATCACCATCCCGCATGTGTTCTGGTTCTGACGGAAGAGTCTGAGTGACGGGGGCATCGCACAACTGGCACCTTTCATTGGGTCATTCGCTCATAAGGACAGAAGAGACAGGCATTAAATGGCATCCCTGTGTGGATTTGTGAGTTATGAATTTTCCAAACAATTACAAAAGACCTTTGTCTTTGTCCCTCGCTGTCCTTAGTTCTTTCACGGTGGAGACAGATCATTTGGCTACTTTTCATACTAAATGTTTTTATATTGTGCTTTAATAATCCATAATAAAGTTTACAATACAGAACTATCTGCAAGTTATCTAAACTGCTTAGTACAGTAATTAAAGGCGTCTTACAATATGGCTGGACAGAGTAGCCTAAACTGTCTAAGTGAATATGGTGATATAGGATCAGCGTCAAGTCAAAAAAGACAGTGAAGGAGACAGCAAAGTAGAGGCCACTGCTGATGTAGTACCTGGGTCCAGTAGACTTTCCACAGTTTTTGCTTTAAAGGATTTCAAAAGTGTGAAATATTTGCTAAGAGCCTACACTCGCCAGATTTGCCCCAAACGGTAACCAAGAGTGATTTTTCCAGTCAGCTACGGAACAGGAGCTGACTGTCGGCTGTGATCTCGGCGTTTTTAGCGGATGGTCAGACCACACTTGCCATCAGGTATCGGTCTGAACGAGAGGCATCCGAAAGGCAGGCGCGGGGAGTTTGAGCGGCTTACGGCTGGAGAGACTGCATTCCTGGCATTGCAACTCTGGGGCTCACAAACTAAATTGCTTTTGGCCTGGGTGGATTTACTTTTAATTAAGTATTCTCTTCATTCTGTTGAATTATTGTTAGTATAGTCATTTTTTTTTCTTTATCAAATAGCATTTTAAGGTTTCCCCCCAGTTTCCTGGGACTGAAAACCCCGTTGTTTTAATTGCCAAACTCTGCCCGCCCCCCCCGTTCTACAGGTAGTTTGGTTTAGCCCTTCCCTCCTTTGTTTTGATCCATTGTGTTTTTCTGCGATTTATTCATATTTAAGCCAGAATTTAAATGAAATTTGAGAAATGGAGGACAGATTGCATGACAGGTCTTTAAATCTCTCCGTACATGGTGAGTGGTCTGAATTTAGAAACGCAAGACTTTAAGTCTCCCAGCTTATGAAATAAAGGCAAGAGAGATTTTTGTGATCTGGGTTGCTTTCAGTCTGATACTGTAAAAATTGTCTCAAAATGGACCGAGTCGGGCTCTGGATTATCATGCCTGGTGCCGTGTGCTTGGCCTGTCCTATATTTGCAAACTGTCCTCGTCACTGAAGGCATATTACATCGATTCTATTGTGCTAAACAGGTTGGCTAATTGCAACAGTTTGTGCTCGTTTAATTTTCCAGTGCTAATGAGATTTATATAATATTGAGGTTTTGACATTTTCCAGAGTCTTTAAGTGTTTTCCTTTCTTAGCCACTCAGAGGCACCTTTGGGAGTTCTTGTTCACGAGATTAAATAGAGAAAGCTCCAGAATAAAGACTATGTTGCATACCTTGGAGAAGAGATGGGAGGGAATAATCAGTTTTCCTGCCTCTTAAATACTGTAACACCTATTACTTAGGTCATCAGAGTTCATTCTGTGCAATAACTGTAATATACTAATGTGATTAAATGGTTCAGATGAATAAAATCTAGAGTTTTAGCTGGTATTATAGGACTTGGCAAGGAGGCTGTATTTGGTCATCGTCGAGGCTTGTGTGTCGTCTGCCATTTGGTCGATGTGCAGATTTGTCATCTTAGGCGAAGAAATGGGAGTGCTGTTTATCGGTCTGCCCATCGATCCATCCATCTGTCAATACATTCATACACAGGTCCATTTTTTTCGACAGCTGCTCATCTGGTAAGGGTTCGATCCACAGCCTGTCCTGGAATTCACGGGACATAAGGTAGGTTAGGCTGCATTTGGGACACCACTTCTTCAAGAGGAACCCATACGTGGGACACGGGTGCGAATTGAAGGCAGTTTTACCTGACCAGTGGGTCTCTGAAAAGCATCTGAGCAGAAGCCATTCTAGGATTTCTTTTTCAAGGTGGGAGCCATAAGAGGGGCCAAGCTTATCATTAGCTAATGACATGATTTTGAATCGGTGAGTGACAGGGTCGGGGCACTCCAGGGGCCAATGAGCTTTCGGATACACCCATGTCCCTGTGGCCCCGCCCCTGTACACACCCCTACATCTGAGATGCCAAAGAGTAACCATTGCAAGAATGGGAAGAAACACACAGGCATACACACACACACACACACACACAGAGCAGGTCCCAGACTCACACCTGGGGGTCAATAAATTGTCATTTATTGCAGCAGTTATATTTATTGTTGTCAGAAGCTAAAGATACTCGAGGAGACATGTCTACCTCGGTCGGCTTATCAGTTGGCTAGCATCCTCCTTCGCTGTCCCCTGCCTGTCATCCTGTCGGCCCCCCTCCCCACTCACCGGCCACCGCCACCAACCCAGCCGCCCACGCAGGCCGTGTCATTATTAAGGAACGGGAGCCCGGTCTGTAGTGAGGATAGAGCCCACGGTAGGACCATGACTCATCTGCGCCTTTGTGTGCTTCGCGCTCCGCGCTGATGCAGAAGGGTGTTGTAGGTCAGAATCGTGGACTGTAGCCGTTATATCTCACTTCATAAAGCACAAATAAACCGCCACAGCCGTCACCGCCAATGAGTGACTCACAGATAACAGCTCTTGACAGCGAGCAGTTTTCATCTGACTCACCCCCATTGACCATTCTCTAGGATGCCGCCTCCTTTCGCCGCAAAAAGGGGGAACTTTATTTCCTCGTTCTTTCACGTTCGGTATCGGGGAATGCCGTCCCCGCAGCTCCACGTCAGTCTGAACGGCATGTCAGTCATCATTTTCCTTCGTGATGGATGTCTTTGTCCGCCTTTATCCGGAGACTTTAAATCCCTTGAATTATTAACGCCATTTTTTTCCCGTACTGCTGTACTAAAAACGCAGAGGCTTCCACGGTTGTTACTTTCCAGCTTCCGCCGGGATCCCCTCCGTCGGACGTTCTCACGCCGATGTTCCCAGCCATCCCATTTCCGATGAAGTGAGCGTTTAGTGACGCCGCGGCGTCTGGTGACACAATATTCTTATCGGCTCACAGGCAAGTCGGAGGTGGAGCTCACATACGACAAGATGTTCACCGTCACCAGCCGCCTGACACTCACCGTCACCAAGGAGGACGACGGTGTCCCCGTTGTCTGCATCGTGGATCACCCCGCCGTTAAGGACTTCCAGGCACAGAAGTACCTGGAGGTTCAATGTGAGTATACCATACTCTACCTCTAGAAGGCGCTGCACAGAATAAAACTTCCGGGCTTGCAGCAGGAATTAGGCCTTAAGAACATCTCCAGACCTTTCTGTTGTGTCTTGATGCGCTGATGGTCTCCTAACCAACCCCCCTCCTCTTGTTATCCCTAGTATTCAGGTGGTCCTCACAGGATGGCGGGGGGCACTTCTGTCCGCACGAAATGCCATCGCTTGTGTGACGGGTATCGATCCAGAAGGCTGGGTCATTAGATATACCGCGGTGCATCTCACGCCCCTGTCCCCGGGTTAACCGACCTCCTCTGCAGTGCTGCACTCGGTGATCCCATCTTATTTTTCCCATGAGAGAAAAAGGAGCTTTGTCTGACCTTTCCACATAAAAGACGGAAAGGATCAGCTCATCTGCAACAGTTTGACATTTTGGTAATCTTGGATTAAAGCTGATAAAAAAAAAAAAAGACGAAATAAATAAAAATAAAACGCGCCATAGCGTGTCTGACTGTTGGTGAGAAGACTCTGCAGCACTGTCGGACCATTCCACCCACCCAAAGCACAGCCTGTATCCGAAAATTCTGTCGCCAGAGCAACAGCCGCGAGATCAATGCTAAGATCGTTGAGTGAGAACAGGCTTAATGGAGTTCGTTTTGCGGGAAAATAGGAGAACATCGCCGCGGATATTATACTAGCCTAGGATATTGATGGTAGCATGATGCTAAGTGCTCTGCTGCTTTGCTGTTTGGCCCTTGGGGGGACCGCAGGAAGTCTTCCTGCTTTAGGCCTGATAGGTTCGTCGTGGGCGTTCAAAAAACCAAACTGAAAGACACTGACATTGACATGCCCTGTTGACTGTATGAGTAAGGCCTAGCGATGTCAAGAAGCTCAGGTGGGGTGTCTAAAATACACCTGAAACATTTATTTACCACCTTTCATGTGAAGCGTTTGAAGGTGGTGATGTAGAAATGTACTCGGGGCAAAGCTAAAATTTTGACATGAGCTGAGGATGCAAAACACAGAGACCTAACCTGAAGAAAGCCTTGCGTCATCTCTGAAGGAATGGCGTAAGCAAGGCAACTTGTCAGACGCGATTCTCCCAAATTCTGACATTTGGAGAGTCAATAATAGGAAAAATATTAGCTAACTTAATGAGTCTTTTTGGGCAAAGACCCTCGTTTATGGAATTAACCATTCAGTCAAAACTCCCAAGTATGGTACGTGGATCAGCAGGTTAGTTGTGGTTGTGACAGAGGGCCCAAAGTGGGTAGAGTGCTATCACCCTTGGGCCCCTTAAGCAAAGCCCCTTACCCACAATTACTGCAGGGGCTGGCTAACCCTATTTTCTGAAAAGAAAAAAAGAAACGGTGCTCTTCGGATAAAAGTACCCTCTATCTTAGGAAACACACATAGCTAAAAAATGTCTTCCTAAATAAATCCATGTAAAACAACCTACCTGTGCAGAAACTGGACCAAACTGGCTTGGATTTAATATACCACCGGCCATGTGGAGAAAGTCATTTAGAGCACCCCTGCGCGTCGAAGAAGTGGGGACGTTAATTTTCCGTATCTTGCATTACCGGAATGGTAGAGACCATATCGATCCGCGCGTACTTTTAGACGGACGGAGTTGCCCTGGAAAGTCAGCAGGTGCGATGTGGGGACAAAGTGCCCAGCCTGTTCAATTAGAGGGGAGAGTATTACATCCAGGGGCCCGCTGAGAGCCTCTGCACAGGAACGGGACCCAGGTTCCAGCCCACCATCTAGCTCCGCTTTCAGTTGTGGTTGAAACCGGACGCTGTGATGTGGAGTTGAATGCAGATTTCTAAGGAGACCCCAGTAGAGATTTAAACCTGGTCTCATAAGCTATTTTGTCATCCTCCATCTCGTTTCCACTTTTCCTTTTCATCAGAACGGAGATATTTGCCAAATGACCTCTGCTTTATACCTTCTTTTTTTCTTGAGAGTTTCCCAGCTCTGTTTCCAGCCTCCCTGCTCATTCATAACCTCATAATCCCTGGTGTCAGCAAAGACTCCAGCAAAGTATTAGATATTTCTACCTTTTCATTTTCGTTCTTTCCCATGCTAATTAGGTTTTTATCTAACCTGTAAGCTCCCTTACAGACAAGCCTTCAAAAAAATCTTTAGCCAGTGGATAAAATAGGGTGGTGTTTAGGTTTTTTTTGTCCTATTCAAACAACAAAATTCTGTTAAAAGAAAGCAGGATTTTCAGGACAGGAATTTCCACTCACGTTGTCAACATATGTTTACCAATTAGGAGGCTATATTGATTTCTTATACATGTCTGCCTGATAGTGTTTAGTGGATTGGATTTTATGTGTTTATTTTATTCGCTTTGTTTGTTTCCTCGTTTATTTCTGTGATGGTTCATTCAATTTCATCTTCAAATTTGTGCCACTTCTCGTAAAAGCGCAGGCCGAATTTGGTCACCCGTTCCTCCTCAGCACTGAGGCGATAGCGCCACCTTGACCGTGTGACGATCTGAGTGATGACCTCCTTGACCGCTTGATGAATTTTGGTATCTCTCTATCGTTGGAACTGAGCAGTGTAGGTTCCTCAGTTTCTTTGTGTCACTGTTTTCCCCTGCTAGTTAATATTGCCTCGTTCCTTTTGCCCAGAGATACTGGGTTGTATATTCACCGGTTACCTGCTTTGTTGAACTGAGGGAATGGAAATTTGTATCCTCACTGCAGACAACTGCTTCTGACAGTGACCTCCCTTGGGGACCACTAAGGTCTTCCAGGGTTATTATTGGAACAAATTAAACCAAGCAGAAGTGTTGTGGTCTGATGTAGGGAAGCTATTAACTGGCTTTCCATCGGCACTGTAGAACAGAGCTTTCCGGCGCCCGGTCACACGTGTCGTTCGCTCCAAGTCCTTACTTGGACCCGGCCTGGCAGACGACGGGCTTTTCTGCACACTTCTTGCTTGTGTTTCCCAGATCCGAGAGCATGCTGCTCTCCCATAGGGCGCTATGAGGCGCGGCGGAGTTGAAAGGCCGCATCATGATGCCGTAATGTCCGAACGGCAAACTTGCAGTGTTTCTATTAGCCAAGCCTGTTAGCTAAGCCGCGCGTGGAACGTACAGTAGTGGGCATTGAAGGGAAGCTGAAAATAGGCTCGGAAAAAGGCGGAAGAGAGTAGCCTGCAGAAAATGTGGGATTGCTGGAAAACTCAAAGTACAGTTTGATTTCCTTGCTTTGAGAGAATAAGCACCGTGCAAAAAATGAACCTCTATTTCCTTCCTAGCGGTGGGTCTGCCGAGAGTTGATACAGCACTCCCTCCTGTTCATCCTGCGAGAGTTGCTGCCTGCTTAATTTTAGAGACGAGTCAGAGCTTCAGAATGGCAGCCATGTAGCTTCACGGGGTGCTGTGTATTTGGGTTTGTATCCTGTATGTAGTGGGTTTGAATCCCATTACTGGCCGGAGAATCCCTAACACTGCTGAGCCCTTGAGCGAGACCCTTAACCACAGCTGCTCTGACCCTCTGCTCTAACCCCAATCTTTCGTCATCTACATGTTACTTTGAACAGAAGCATCTGCTAAACGTGTGAAGGAGCGTGAATTTAGTTAAAAGAAGCTAACTGATCAAATGCCATTTAAAAAGGCTTTGTTTATGCACAAGAAGCACGTTTCTCCTCTAGGCTGTTATGAAGACTTTAATGCTAGGTAATGTTTTGTCATCAGTCGGGTTAAATGTAGACCAATAGCAATGCTAATTAAAAGGCCCTTTCCGTAAATGTGATATATATAGTTTTTTTCCTTCTGGATGTTTCTTAAATACTTCATAACATTATCATTCTATAGCGCCGTAAAACTAGGCATCTCTTTGTACAGAGGAAAAGTTACTGGATATTAACATTATATCTCAAAAAAATAGAGAGTATTGGTAACTTTAATGTAGTCTCACCTGACATGTGGGAACTCTAAGTGGTAACACATCACAATCAGGTAAATTTGGGGTTCTTGAGTTTAGGAGCCGCTTGGTCTTGTTAGCGACTAGCAAGGCGTGACATGGCTGTGTATGATTCTCGACAGAGAAAATGAGAAGCAGTCTTTCTGATCGGGCATGGAGCCCATGCTGGCCCATAATTTGGCCCTGGCTAGAAGTTTGGAAGCAGACTGCTGTTATCCTGCCCAGGAAGGGCCACCTGGTCGGTTGGTTTTTCCAAAAAAGTGAGTTTAGATCCATCACAGAGCACACCTACTGCTGGGCATATACCCCTGACTCATGCATGTTGACAGTGGTACAGTGTTTTACTTATTTAATTTTAAGCTACAGGTGGCTCTTAATAAGGTGCTATTTTACATTTACGTAACAAGATGCCTTTGGACAAGAACACGGATTGTGTTTATTTTTCCTTGTTTGAATTTTCAAAAGCTTTTATCCGTGCCAAAAAAAAAACACACACACTCTCCATAGTGCTTCTTTACGCGAGGTAACACCTTTTCTGAGACTGTCACTCGCTGGTGGAATTCGTGTCTAAACTTGGGGCATGACCGCCATCAGTTACGTCATCACGGCGCCAGTCTCTCCCCCTACCACAGTGCAACGTTGGTCTCCAAAACAACAGTCTCCACTGGATGCTGGAACCATCCCCATCCTGCTGTCTGTCAGCGGAGGAGAGAGAAGCCTGCAGTAGCCAGCAATCGTAACAGATAAGGGCAAGGTTGTTACCGATGGACCATAAAGGTCAGACTGTAGCACGCGGGGGTGAACGCGCTGTTGACAAACTGCATTTGGAAATCAGCTCTGTCAGTGCCGTGTGTATTACACCCCTGATGTTTATGGGTATGGTCTGGTCCGGTAGCCATACAAGATTGGCTTAAACGTGAGGTTCTGAAGGAACAATGTAGCAGTAAACAGCTCCGTATGATCGATTTTTTTTTATTTTATTTTTTTGAGAAACATACAGCTTGGTTTGCAAAATGAAGGACAGGAGATGCTGACTTAATGAGTTACTCCGATATGAGCATATGGCCCTCACATGTGGACCCCATGTCTTTCCATGGGAGACTGCAAGCCAGTGCTTCCCACTAGCTATACGGTTTTACCCCTGAATTTCTTGTTTTCTGGGTTAAGGTTGCTCTGTTGAGGGAAGCAGTTTTTTTTTTTTTTTCTTTATTATTTATTTTTAACAAGACTTCACTGGGCTGTGTTGAGCTGCATGCGAATCACGTTCCATGGGGTCCCTCTCGGCTCAAGCTGGGGAAGCTTAATGGGACAGGTGAGCTAATCCATGGAGATCCAAGTCAAGAGGGAAATCCCCTATTTTATGTAAACAACTGCTATGTTTCCATCCAGCCTTTAGCCCTTTAACAAACCTTATTTGAGGACTGTCTGGTTCTGGTTTTGTCTTGCAAGAAGCATGTCGATCCCTCTCCACATAACCGCATTTACCGCGTCTAACGGACCAGCCACTTTTCCGCCGCCTCTATTATTTATTATTTTTTATCTCATCTACTCCTAAAGGAATATTTTGGGTCATTTTCTTTTCCGAGACGGTTCACCTTTATGTCCTAAAGGAAAGCAGATGCGGGAGCACCGCATCTCCAGCATTAATGCCCCGTTCCTCTTTTTGCCCCCACAGATAAACCAGAGGTGAAGATTGTAGTGGAGTTTCCTGAAGGGCTGACAAGGGAAGGAGAAAATCTCGAGCTGACTTGCCAAGCCAAAGGCAAACCCCAGTAAGAGGCTTCTGTTGTGATTCGGGCAGTGTGATTGTGATCTCCTTACAGGAATGGAGCAAGTCAAAGCATCTCATTACGATGTCCACAATAATGATGCCAACGGTGGTGCTCTATGCTATTGTGGCTTCACAGATACTTTAATCCAGCTCTATGTGTTTTTTTGTACCCACTTGTACATCTGATACATCTGAATATTTATTCGATGAGATCCTGGTTAAGTTCCTTGCTCAAGGATGCAGCAGCAGAGTTCCTTGCCGTGTTTCTTGGAGCATCTAACCCATCATTCTGCCAGCCAAGCCTTGCTATGTGCCACCAGCCAAAGTCATGAGGGCAATTTCTGTGGGACAGTCAGATCGGCTGTGTGGTGTTTGTGTGTGTGTGTTTGTTTGTGCGAGCGGGTGTGTGTGTGTGTGGCTTTGCATAGATCACATTTGAGGACCAAATTGTCCCCAAAGTGTAGTAAATCCTGAAATTTCCCTACTTTTGGGGGCATGTTTTCAGGGCCCCATTTGGATAACCTCAGATTTATAAAAATCTGTGAATGCAATCAAAAAAGTAAAAATGCCAAAAGCTTTGTATTTGGGTTGGTTACTTATGGTTACGGTTAGGGATGGGTAGAGGTGTCGTGATTGAGATTAGGGTTTTTCCCATAGAAATGAACGGATGGTCCCCATTTAGATAGGTAGACCAACTTGCGCGTCTGTGTGTGTGTGTGGTGTGTGTGTGTGTGTGTGTGGAGCGCCCCCTCCCTGTAATACAAACAGCCTCAGCTAAGGTTCTTCCAAAGGTGTTGTGGGAAAACAGGGTCTGATTGACGAAGCCCAGTGCAGTCAGACTGGGATTTCTCCACCATGTGTGGAAATATTAATACCATCCGTCATAATTTACGCCACGCCGCCTGGTAAGCAATGTGACCTTCCCCTGTCTCTCGGATTCACCACGCTTCAAAGTCAAGAAAGCGGAGGTTTGGCCTTGTGCTGGAAAGAAGGGCGGAGCTCTTTTGTGGTGTCCCCCCGCCTGGCCCCGCGGCGCCTATTCTGTTGAGATACGGACATCGGCCGAATTCATTTATAAAGATGAGAATGCAATCAATAAGCTGTACAGAAAATTGGAAGTAATTTTCCATTAATGCGACTAGAGGTTTAGTCGCTTGTTGATTTGTATTCAGGATCTAACCCCTGGTTTTCATGCAGCCTCTCTCTCCCATATGCATCTCCATCCACTCCTTTCAATAAACCACTTCTTTCAGCCTCTCTCTCCTAGGTCATTTTTTTCTCCATGTTGCAGGAGTTCTGTATTTTCAAGCCATACATGTTTATTTAACGTTGATTCCTGATGAAAATCTCTCTAGTGCGGATTGCATGCCGGCTCCCGACCACGCAAATTCAGCCTCGCGCACAACATAGGAGATCGACGGTGATTGAGCTCGGACCGATCATTGTTTGAAGTTTTGGGGGTGGGGTGGGGTGGGGGGGGGGTTAGTATTTTTTTTTTTCCCCAAGCCCATTAGATGGATAGAAACAAGTTTAAACGCCAACACAAAGAAAAAAAAACGTTCCCCAGCTCCGGGGAAATAATACAATGCTGCCAGAAGTTGTGAGAGCATAACTGAATTTACAAAGCCTGTAACGTCTCCCTTAGTGAATTTTGTGCTGTGTACTCAGCACCGTGAAGTGGAAGAGCGTAGAATGTGTGTGTTATATAAGCTGCTTGGTTATTGTAGAGGACAGTATATGAATGTGAAAACTCAGCCCAGAATGATGCATTAAAAAACCTATCTTGACGTTCTGTAATGCTGTTGACAGCCCATGTAATAAGGATTGCATCTGCAAGGATTGCAGCAATGCACCTGGAAACTGAAAATTTGTACCACCTTGAGTTCCAGGCACAGTATTCTCAGCATGTGGGTTTCATTTTTCTTCCCCTGTAGGAGTAATACCTGTCTGTCTTTTTTAGGCCCCAGAATATCAACTGGGTGAAGGTTGACGATGATGTCCCATCACACGCTGTGATAACAGGCACAGACCTACTCATCGAAAACCTCAACAAGTCCTACAATGGAACATATCGCTGTGTGGCGTCCAACTCAGTCGGCGAGTCCTATGATGACTACATCCTGTATGTTTACGGTATGTATGGTGTCCTGGAATCCATCAGTTCCCCTTCTACCTCACAGGGTCATCAGAGGTCCCCGAAAGTCTCTACCATTAGCTGAATTACTCTTCTTCTGTGGTATAGTTGGATTTTATTCTCCATGATGTTTTGAATACTAAGTGGTGAAGAGCTGTTTCTTCCGTTTCCGCCGAGTATTCCCACGTTGTCTTCTGCGAATATATGGGATACGTTTGAAGGTTATTTACGTTAAAAAGTGCCAGAGTCTCCGTCTTCAAAGTATCAAAAAAAGACAATTTAAAAGGGCTGAAAAGAGTGTTCATGTAACTGTCCTTTTATTTAATGCAAACGAAAACCAAATTGGTACAAACAAAAACAGACGAAAGGGATACTTAAACAAAGGGTAGATTTAGCCTAAGTACGCACCTTTCTCAGCGATGCATCCGGCACATTTCAAAGCTCACATTGCAGTACTACATACTTTTTGAAAGCAGGGCCAGTTGACAGTGTATGTTCCACTTCATGTGGAAGTGTGTGTATGTATGTGTGTGTTTGATTTAACAGGTGTGTGTAATGGAAGCGGGAAGACTTTGAGTGCACTGTTTGCTAAGTCACCCTTCGGCGTGCTGTTCAGACCTTTACCTCAGCAGGGTGATGGCGGGGGCTGGGCTCGCCCGCGTTTCCCGGCACGGATCTGGCAGCGACTCACAGTTCCCTCCGCGCGCCGGCGGTTCGGAGCGTGACAGGAAGGAGGAAGGATGCGTGGCCTGTTAGCGGGAGACTTAAGTGAGACTCCCCCCCCCCCATTAAAAGCAGCTCCCGACATAATAGGGGCTGTCTCGCTTTTGATAACTTTTGATGTCTGCTCCCGTTCTAATATCTGCCGTGATGCAGCAGCGACTCATGTCGAACATTAGAATTGCTAATGTGGAAGCAGTACTCCCGGCCCGGCCTGTCAGCGCTTAATCTTGCGTCATGTTTTGTGACACCCCCACCCCCCAAACTAGAATTGGGGGGCTGTTAACAGACTGCTCTGACATCCCAGAATATTCTCCCCGCGAACCACACACAAAAGACGAGCATGGTGACATCTGTTTGTGGCCTGTTCTTATAATTCTTTTTCTTCAATTTGTGGGCTGACATCTGCTCATTACAGGAACGGCAGCCCTGACATGTAGCCGATCAGCTCTAGATCCGAGCCGAGATTTCTCCCATCAAACTGTGTTCTCTCAAATTTCCTCTTTCTGGGTGATGAAGGACAGCTCCCTATTGGAGGAGTCAGCTTAACATAGAGGATTATTTAGAAAATTACATCTATTATATTTTTGAATGCCTCCATGTATAAAAGCTTGCAGTCCTGAATGCATTTCTCGTAAAATATTTTGGCTTTAACTGTTTTAGTATCGTATTGATATCATTTAGATTGATATACCTTACTGAGTGAGCGCTGGAAGTGTATTTGGTCTGATTTTTTTTTTTTTATATGGAAGGAAATTATTAATTAAATTATTCATTTTTTACCCTGATAGCAGAGGATATGATCATTAATTAAACAAAAAATTATACGTGTACTTAAATTTTTACTTAAAAGTGCAATAGGTGTGCATGATAGTGTTTACAGAACAACTCCATGGTACTTTAAAACACTCTTGTAAACTCTGTAGTCGGAATTGTTTCCGTAATTTTTATAATTGGCTAGTTAGACAAATTCCTCACAAGACTGACCTCCAAGACATTGTGGCCCAGCAGGGGGCGCTACTTTGCTGGGGTTTTTGTTTCACGTGCTTGTTCCTGTGCTCTGTAGGATGTAAGTGATGGGGGGACACGGCAAGGCAAAGACTAAATCGGTTAAAGTGAAAAATGTATTTACCGAGATGCATCTCTAACGCGGTCGCCCAGAACACCCTGCGGAACAGCTATGCCGACCCCAGAGGACCCTAACAAGGTTATTGAGCTGTTCTAACCTCGTAAAACTGAGCCCTACCGCACAGCTCATTCCTTATTGCTCTGCTCTCCCATGTCTGTCACTTTCAGTCCCGTTTCTATTCCACAGAAGCTCCTCGCACCCGGCTGCCGGCATCGTCCGACCCCTTAACTCAGGACGTGCTGTAAAACACACCTTAGGCTGCCTGTCCTAAAAAAAAATCAATGATACATGCTTGTTCTACTGCAAGTTTAGCGCCCGCCATGTTTATCCGGTGGGAGGTGCGGGGAAAAACCGCCTGATTTCCGAGCTCAGTTGTTGCCTGTTGAATCTCTTGTCTCTGTCTTGATTTTAGCTACAGTCTGACGCAGTCCTTGTGTCCCTCATTGTTTTCCGCTTTGCCCTTTATATCTGATTTTAATTGTTTTGCACATTTATTACGATGCTTTGGAGAACCTCCCCGTACTACCTTCATATTTTCTTAGATGTGCCTGTATCTCTTGGCCAGGAACTGTTATTCAAAGCAGTGTTGAAGATTTAAAGACAACAATGCACAGCTCCGCTGTCACCAACAAAAACCATCAGTACGTTATTATAATTGAGTTCATTTACCTCCATGGCAAGTTCTGTCTTATCTGAAGGGGGTTTGCTATCTGCTTTTCTTTGCGTTTGTGTGCCAGTCCTTTCCTGATCAGGGTTGTAAGGCTTTGTAGAGGATTTTGTAAGGAAAAGAACCCCCCCCCCTACAGGACAGTGAAGGAATTTTAAGAAAAAGGTTTTTAAGCTATAAATGGACAGGATATATAGTCTTATGTATGTTGTGTGTTTGATTGCATAGGCATAATTCCACCATGATTTTGTGCACCCATTTATTTAAGAAAAAATAGATTCAGATTTGACATTTCTATTAGCTGGGAAAATAATAAGAAAAGTCATATCGTTAGATTAATTCAGAGGCCGTTAGAATGAGCTAATTATAGTCAGGTGATGAAATCTTCTGCTTCCGTCCATCCAAAACGAAAGCGTTGAGCTACTTGTTCATGACAAACGAATACAACACACACGTGTCGGTCGTGCACCTCCACTATAAAAAATCATTCACTCCACAGGACATGTTTTCTTGATAAATCAGTTTTTTTTTTCTTATTAACACGTAAATGTCTTGCCTTGATTAAATGGGAAGAGTGCTGTCTGCAGGTGTGCCTTTGGCTGTTAATAAGCTTCCATGTCATTAGCGTTTCCAGAGAAACTCTGCCTCTTTTTTTTTTTCCTCCTCTCCTTAATTGGCAAATCAGGAAAGGACCCATCAATCTTGTGTGTCATAACGCACAGATGGCAGTTTTAGGGCACTAATTTTAGAAGCTTCATCCAGTCCTCGCTCAACAGGTATGCTGGGTAATGGACAGGCTTGGATCCTTGGCCAGAGTTTGTTTTCCCACTTCCTGTGTGCGTGTTCATTCGACGGCGTCCATCTCTGAGCATTCCCTGGTGTTTTATTGTAATTTTGCCTGCACTTTTCCACCCCCCCATGCCGCACTCCATCCACACACAATCGCCAGGCCCCACAGACATTGGAAAAGAACAAACAGGTTGGATACTGGCCTGCAGGTGCTCCGGGGGAATATCAATGCAGGGCTTCCTCAATTTTTCATACCCGCAGAGCAGAGGATATGATGAGAGGATTGAATCGATAATTCCTTTGTATTTTCATGCTGTCGGAGGAGATCTGCCAGACTGAATAAAGAGCCCCCCCCCCCCTCCCCCGAACAAATATGTAAAGTTGGCTGACAACAAAAGAGACAAGGGGGCTGGGGCGAGGTGAGGTAGGAGAATCAAAAAGCTAAGCACCGCCCCCCCCCCCCCACACACACACACACACCCATGCCTTGTGGTAACCGGGCTATTAGCCTGATTGTTTTTTTATGTTTCTTTTTCTGGGTGGCTGTTATCCTCTAACAACCCCCTCTCCCCAATACACACCCCTTGGCACCTGTTCCAGTGAAATTGTCCCCCAATCCTTGCTGATGACCCCCCCCCCCCACACACACACACACACCTGTGTGTCCACTGGGGGCGCCCTGGAGTCACAGATGCATTGATGTCCTGCTTTAAACCTTCCTGTATTCATTGCATGGAGGGGTGGGGGTTTCGGGTGGGTGGGGCTGTTTCCCATCATCACAGCACGTGTTTAATGAGCCCGCGAGCTAAGATTCACAGTCACCCATAGCAAACACATCACAGTGACACTCTGGAACCCTGAACAATTTGAAAGTCGATAAGCCCATTGATATAGTGTGTCATTTTTTTTCCCCGACAGTGATTTTTAACATTTGCATGCTCAAACTCACTCTCTACTGTAGGGATACAATGTTTTTTTTTCTTCCCTGCCAGGTTTTAATGAGCTATTGACACTGGTGATCCTAAACATCTGTTGAGTATTCACAGTTCATAACTAGATAAAGCCAATTATGCTGCTCGACCATAATGCCTGGGTTTCCTTCGCATTCTAGAAATCTCATTGGCTCGTCCTGGAGCGTCTAGCACCTCCGAGGTCCACAACGCTATATCAGCTGCAATAACTGAAGGGCGCTACGTGGAATCGTCCTGTTTTGAATTTTCATTGAAAAATAAATGCCTCCACCATCTGCCCCCCCCCCCCCCTTTGGGAGAGTAGATCACCATTAGTTTCCGTTGGGCTTTTAAAATGTAGTAAAGAATAGATTAATTAAACAGACAGAATAACACACGGTAAATAGTATTTACATCAGTAGTCTCCATTAATAATGGCCTTATGGAGTTTATCACTTCCGAAGGCTGCTGTAAGTCTTTGTCAGCGCGCTCACATGCTCTGCGATTCCAGGGACTTTACATATTTTTTCCATGACGTCCAATTTGTCTCGCGCATCCCGCGACGCCGTTCCCATTTACGCGGCTGCCACGTATCCAGCCGTTATCCGGCTAGGCTTCCAGGTTTTCAGTCTTGCTCGTGCCATCTTTTTCCATGTGGGGCCATCTGGCGTGAATATGCAGTCTCGTAGGGAATCGTGCGAGTAGATGAACCTTAGGAAAAGGAAAACTGAAACTGAAAGAAGTGAGAGAAAAGGGTTATATGGGAAAATGGGATCGGACAGAGCTGTAAATTAAGCTGGCCCACTCACCTGAGGTGAGTTATTAAGATGAAGGGCGAGTACAAGAAACCCAACCACTGGCTAGTAAACAAAACAATGCATGCTGGACTAAATTTTTTGCTGAATTAGCGCAGTTGGCTAGTAGCTAAAATTTTTTAAGTTACACCCTTGGCATCGGGCATCGAGTGCGGACTGGTCCTGGTGTATATGGCACTCCAGATCCATGTGCCAATTCTGGAATTTGTCACCGGGTTGCCATTGCGGTCCGACACCTTACTGTTCAGCCGCCTGGCTTTCGAGACGCTCACCCCCAGCCAAGGGGATCTGACAAAGTGTGGACGGCTCCTGCGATGCAGATGTAACTCCTGTATCCTGCCTGGATGCAGGTACAAGTTCTCCTCTCCTTTTTTTTTGTTTTATTTTTGTGGCTTTGCAGGTTATTTTTTCCTTGTAAGGCTCAATTTGCACGTCTGAATTGCTTGGTGCTCTGATGCACGTACACACTGTGGCAGCCGTATACGTGAGCTCCGCTAAGTGTGTTTAGTGTCAGGACTCATCAGTGGACACTGGTTGCTTGCATTGGACGCCCTCGCAGTGGGACTTCCATAATTAGCAAAGGAGGGGGGGGATAGTCAAATTATATGGAAATACATGCAGTAATGAAGCCGGCCTTCGATCCTAATCAGCCGGTGGCCCTTCTATTGTTTTTTGTTTTCGTTTTACTCTCCTCTGTGTATCGTGCATGAATTTTCATATCATAACTGCTTCCTGTCATTAGTCACGGCACTGTATTTTATATTATTTTTGTTTTGTAAACTATGGGGTCAAGGTCGGAAAAATATGCTTTGATGCCCGGGTCACAAGAAACCATGAGTCGTTTTGAGTATGTGTCTCGGACCCCTGGACTGGCTAATTACGCGGCACAGGGGGGAGGTGATGCGGCAGCGAGACCAAAAGATACCTCTGCAGGAGTGATTCTAGGAAATGTTACGGTGGGGGGCGGGGCATAAGAGGGAGCATAATTCATACAGTGGGCCTAACTTTATCATTAACCAATGATATGTTTTGAATCGGTGAATGACAGAGGAGGGGGCCAGTTATCTTACAGCTGGGGACGGTGTCCCTGTGACCCTGCTGATCTGTATTTATATATGGCAGTATTTGATTGTTTTCCCTTCCCTCTGTGGTGCTTTTTATTCCTTCATGGTTTATTTGTTCATTTGTGTCATTTGTCTTTTTTTTTCTCATCTAGATGTTCTCACCACCACCTCTATACCCCCAACCACCACCACCACCACCACCACTAGCCCAACCACTACCATCCCAGCACCCGCCCAAGGTACAGTACCTCCAGCCGGCCCTACCTCCAGGCTCTGCCTCCAGTCTTCACCCACCCTGCTGCCAGTCGCCCCTCCCCTCCCTTTCCCCCCGCCATCTTTTCTTAACCGGTGCCAGCAAGCTTGCGTGCGTTGTGTGTCTCGGTGTGTGCGTGCATGCACGCGCGCACTCGCATGTGTGCGAGTGTGATGAGAAACTGCAGGCAGCCAGGCCTGATAAGATTCTTCTGCTGATAGCAATAACCAGGTCCCTCAGGAGAGCGCGGCGGTCTCGCCGCACCGAGCTGTCAGGCGCGGGCTGTCAAAAACCCATTCCCGTCACATTTCTCTCAAAATGTACCACCGGTTCCTCTCCATGCTCCGCAATCTTATCAGGATCTCGGCCTGGATCCCGTCCGGCCCGAGCAGGAGATTACAGGGGCCCTTTGTGGTCCCGGATGGGTAATGTAGATGCATGGAGTAAAAAATAAAATACTTGTGTGATCTTTTTAAGCACGTGTTGATTGGCTCTTGCATCACTTAATTATATACACAACACGTGCTCTTAAAATCACTAAAAGTTTTTGGAGATGTTAATCACCTAACTCGTTGTTGATTTTTTGGTAAGTAGCTCTGCTCTAATTCTCATTGGTTTGCATAACAAGAAGATCAAGTTTAATTTTTGTTACCCATGTAAGTTTATTATTCCCACTGCACTGCACTGATTGTGTTTTTTTGGTATTCAATTATTGTTTCTTTCAGTCTGAGTTCACTAGTTTTGGATTTCTTCCCTTGAATCTCCCAAACTGAAATGCTGCCATGAGAGTGAAACTGAATTAGCAGCAGAGTAGCGGTGAAGTAAATTAGAGTAAGTTCCATCTTCCTTAATAGAGTCGGTATACTTTCTTAAAAGCTGTGCCATCGATCTGTATGATCTTTGTCTGTTTCAGCTTTTTATTTATAGATACTTCTGTGTATTTATATATGAAAAATCAGTTCCTCAGGACTGTCGTGTTCCTCAGTTCCTGCCTCCATTTATTCACATAGTGGACGGTTATAGATCATCGGCACCAAATGAATTTAGTGGTTCACAGGGGTAGAGGCCACTTAGAAATTTAATACATTTTTGATAAACTGGCTGTACGAGAAATGGAATGGGGTATACTGCACTTTAAAAAAATCTATTAAAACCTAACGTAGGGCTAAAGTACTCTGCAGCTTCTGGAGGTGACATTTAGAGATGACTAAATTGCCATTTATACTGAAATATAAATGGCTAAATGGAAGGGTCCTGCTCACCGTTATTTGCCACGTGGACAGATGTCATTAATTCGTATTTGTATTGCCTTTCCCCCCCCATTCTAATAAACACAGCTCGAAAATTGATGTTTATCGATATTTGGGAAAGTGCTTATTTTCTTTTAATAGCTTCTGCAAATTTGATCAAAGACTGAGCTTTCTCTCTCTCTCTCTCTCTCTCTCTCTCTCTCTCGCAGTCTCTTACCTGCACTCTTTCTTGAAAAAAATAATAATGAAAATTAACAAAGTAAATGTGCTAACGTCCTTTGCCTCCCTGGGTACGGCGGGGGGGGGGGGGGGGGGCTGTGTTACCTGTATGCAATTTTGTAGTCATGGTGAAAATATTCCCCTAGACCCCTCCCACAAAGTTCACAAGAGCTGAGATGAAATCTAAAGTCTAAAAATTCTTAGTGTTGTCTGCTGCTAATTATGGAGTATGGAAAATCAGGCTCTTGTCCCCTGCACTGCATAGGATTATGAAAGCGAAGATCTCAATAGCTACCCCAGTTGTCAAATTGTTCTAAAGGGCAATTAAAAAGCTGTTAGATAAGTATACTAAACAAGTAAACCAATTGTCAATCAGGCTGTGATTTTTAATCAATGAAATAAACAATCAAGGAATGCCTGTTTTTCTGGGCTTAAATTGCATAAACACCATCTGGTAAACTGGCTTTAGAAATTGTGTTGCACTCAAATGTGCGATTGAGTATCCAATTTCTCAAACGGTCTAATATCTCAAGGATGAACACATCCTCAAAATAATTCATGAAAGGTCAATAGTATTCCACAGCTGCAGCTGTGCAATGCACTGCCAGGAAACATCATCCGTATGGATTTATTGTGTTTAGCATCATGCAAACGTGGAATGTTCCCAATAAGCTCTGCACTCCATGATGGCTCAGAGGAGATGGGACTCATAATCCAGGCAGGAGGTAATCGGCGCCCTACACCCAAACCAGCCAAGCGCTACCACTAGCTGTCTAGCTTGTGTGAGTCGGAGCGTGGCGGCTAGTGTGGGTGCGTCTCCATGCTGCCTCAATTCTCACGAGGGATATTGACACCTCTGGAGGTGTGTGATTACTGTTGTGCTCATAAGAAGGTTTCGGCAGAGCAAAGAGGGTGGCGTCCTCAATGCATCCCAAAATGTGGGAAGAAACCCCCCCCCCCCCCCATCCTTTTCCCTGCGACACACTGCTGTAAAAATCGCTGTCGCTTTCAGAGATGCAGCGTTCCACCCTTCCTCGTTTGCCTCTTTATCCAGATGCTTGATCTGTAAGACACTCTACCACTGCATGTAACCAAAACAAGATTTGATGCATTTCCTTTCTAGTCCTCTTTAAGCTGAGCATTCACAAGCGATCGAGATGTGCGGAGATGTGTTACCAAAAGTCATTTGGCCTGACCCCCTTCTTGAACTGAAGTTTTGACTCAGTTGGTGCTGTTGGGCTTTCGTGCGAATAGCCCTGCTTCGAGTGAGCCCCGCATGCCTCCGGTACCTCCCTTGGCAGCTCCAGTCTTCTCCAACCCCCAAAGATGGTGGTACGGAGACACCGCAACAATTAAGCAAGAGGGCCGTGAGCCTACCATCATCATCGGAGGAGGTGACCCGTGCTGTCAGGTGGACAGGTTCTCTACAGGAAGCCCGTCTCATCGGTTGACTCATGGGCTGACTGCGGTGCTGTTCCGCTCTTCGGTAATGGGCCCTGCCAACAACAGGGTGTGTCCTCGGCACCCAACCACCATGTGACGTGACAATTTGTCTGGATGAATGGAGTCATCTCTTGCTGTCTCTCGTTATCACGAGTAGCCCAAGACAACTCCATTGTTTTTTTTTATCATACCCAGACCAAATGTGTGTGTTGGGGGGGAGGGGGTGCTGTCCCAGTTGTCTTATTTTTTGTGTTCTGCGTGGTCTGTTACTGATATTAACCTTCATAGGGGAAACACCTGTGGGGGTGTGGCTATGAATTAACATATAGCACTGATTGGGTACTATCTTCACAACCCATCAGGTATCTGTTAGTTTATTATGATAATGAGATTGATTTTTCTCTATAAACTGCTGCTTTCACTACTGGAAACGCACACCGATGATGTCTTAGTGCTGAATCAGTTCAGACCTGAAATTACTGTAGTCTTCATTTCACTTCCTTGATATCAGGGCTAGCGATGCCAGTACTGTAATAATGTTGGGAGGCAGTACAGTAATGATATCGGGGCTAGCAATGGCGGTACAGTAATGATGTTCGGACGGTGGTACAGTAATGATATCGGGACTAGTGATAGCAGTACGGTAATGATATTGGGGTAGTGGTATGGTAATGATATCAGGGCTAGTGATAGCAGTACAGTAATAATGTTGGGCCGGTGGTATGGTAATAATATTGGGGCTAGTGATAGCAGTACGGTAATGATATTGGGGCTAGTGATAGCAAGTACGGTAATGATATTGGGGCTAGTGATAGCAGTACGGTAATGATATTGGGGCTAGTGATAGCAAGTACGGTAATGATATTGGGGCTAGTGAAGCAGTACGGTAATGATATTGGGGCGTTGGTATGGTAATGATATCAGGGCTAGTGATGATAGTACAGTAATGATGTTGGGCCGGTGGTATGGTAATAATATTGGGGCTAGTGATAGCAGTACAGTAATGATGTTGGGACGGTGGTATGGTAATGATATCGGGGCTAGTGATAGCAGTACAGTAATGATGTTGGGACGGTGATACAGTAATGATATTGGGGCTAGTGATAGCAGTACAGTAATGATGTTGGGCCGGTGGTATGGTGATAATATTGGGGCTAGTGATAGCAGTACGGTAATGATATTGGGGCTAGTGATAGCAGTACGGTAATGATGTTGGGGCTAGTGATAGCAGTACGGTAATGATGTTGGGCCAGTGGTATAGTAATTATTTTGGAGTTATAATGACAGAACAGCAGGGCAGCCTCTGGAGTTTCGCTTATTTGAACTTTAAATCCACTTCGATGACCTGCCCTGTTGGAGTGAACCTAAGCGAAACCCCAGAGGGTTTTTGTCAGAGGGTGACATGAAACAGCGGCCTGCTGTATCAGCTGAAGAACAGAAGCTGTTGGGTTTAACTCCCAGGAGAGGCGCTGCTGCGATACCACCTCGTGAACCACAGTGGTTCTCACGTTTCTTTGTGGGCTGCTAGGGAGGAGGTGGTGAAAGCAAGTTTTCAAGGGATCTTACTGCTTTCACAAGAAAAAGTTGCAGTGCATGATATGAAGCATATAATACGTGTACTTACTATACAAATGTATTTTTTTTAGTTGTCTCATTTGGAATTTAAGGGTTGCAGTAGCTCAGTCTATGACACTGGCGTCACACCATCAGGGTTGTGGGTTTAAGGCCCGCCTCAGTCGCCATGCGAGTTTGCGGATCTGGTTTCCCTCACAGTCCAAAAATGTGTGATGTAGGTGCATCGTCATCTCTAAATCGTGAGTGTGAGTGTCCCTGGCCATATGCTGTAGGTTTTCTGTGGTAGGCTTCTGGTTGACCTTGACTCCCTGTTACATAATGTTTTTTTTTTTTTTTTTAAAGAGGATAAATGGATGAATGGATAGCAATTTTACCATTTATTTGTTGTCATTTTTTGCAATTCATCATATGCAGTATTGACGTACACCCCTGACTGCCCTTCAGCGAACTGTTCCAGGGGCCATTCTTGGGCAAAAGGTGGCAAATCTGAATTCAGAAATACATTTCATCTCACAGTTACATATCTGACTCAGCCTTCATCTCATCGGTGTTAATGTATGTCAGGCATTTATGTCTTGATTCACCATGTAGATTTCAGATAAGCAAAAAAGTGTGAGATGGTGGTAAAAAAAGAACTAGGTACCTGTCAAAAAAAATGTCAAAGGCAGCGACCATGAATCCATTAGATGTGATTTAATCTCATTGGAGATGGATCTAAATTAAAGTGAATTTTACCGCGGTGACAGGTCTCATCACATATAAGCCCCACCCTCTTTAATGGCCCTCTCCATTATGTAGAATCTCCTCCCTGATATGTTCAAATTTACCTCTCATACCCTGAGGTGTCGATTTGGGAAGTTGTCTCCCTGACAACTTTTTCTTACGGAGTCACTGCCCTCCCCCACTGCACAGTGCCAGAAAAGGCAAGAGTATCGTCATATAACTCGGTCGATCTCGCAGGATAGGGCTCTGTGGGGCTCGAATTCAGAATGGGTCACCTGCTCTGACAATTCACGCTGTTAAAGAGGCTTGCAGTCTAGGAGTGCGGAACACATTCTAGTAAATGGAATCTTGGGAAATGGGATCCAGTCCTGTGTGATTTCCTAACACACAATTCTGTGTAATTTTTTAAATGACAATTGTTGTTGTTGTTATGCATTTTAGTACCTTTTGTATTCCATAAGCATTTAAATTTGTTCAAAGCTCACGAAGGTGTCATCTGGAAAGGCTCATTTCAGATCTGGATTTTTTAAACAGCAGAACTATAGATGCACGTGGAATATGTCAAACATGTACCTGTTCAGATTTTAAAAATGTTCTGGAATTTTGCGCACTTGCAGATTTAATTTTATTTCATTTTTGTTCCACACAGCTCAAACTCTACTATGTGATGCAAGAAATCTACGTGATAAATTGAGAAATGTTGATGACTCTGCACTTTTTTTAGCCATGTTGTTTTTAAACTATTATTATTATTATGATTATTATTTTTGCTGATAGCTGTCCTCTGTCTGTGACGAGCTTCATTTTGTTTGATGTGTTTTATTTGTATATTTCTTTCTTTGTCAGATTTTGGTCTTTGTCATGTAACGGTGTCTTGCAATGCCTTATGGGTCCCATTGTTGTCATTCTCCCTCTTTTTGCATGCCCTTCCACCTGTTCCCCTCCTTCGCTCGCCGCGCGCTCAGACGCCGCGTCCAGCACAGAGCCGGCGGCTCACGGTGGGTATCCCGGCCGCCTATCCTCCGCTCACACGGCACGCGCCGGCCACCGCGTGTGGCTGCTGACCATCATGTTGCTGCTCTATATGCTGATGAGCTTCAAACCGTCGCCTAAACTTAATTGGCATAACTATTGTGTGTATGTATGTGTGTGTTTGTGTTTGAGGCCTGTACGAGCTTCCCACAGCATTCAGTGCTGATACATTGTTCAGACTGAGCTCAAAACAGTATTTAAATGTAGGCGTTTACACCTAGATCGCAGAATCTGGAGGGGTGTCCTCTCCTGGTTTCCATAGCAACTAGGGAACACACAGGTGCTTCCACGATTTGTGCAAACCAAATAATGACGCAGACTGTGTGAGAGCTCAGTTCCTCGCATGTTGGACAGCCGGTCGGATGGCATCTGTCTTCTGTGACATTCTAGTTGGTCGTGACTTCACCCCGGATGCACAAAAAGGCTATTTGGTGGGATTATTCTAAGCAGTTTGATGAGCAAAAACCCATAGCTTCTTCTCACTTAGAGTTCAGGAATATTCCATAACCTTCTGCACTGTATTTTGTTCATACAGGATGTCACTGAGGTTATCTATTGTGGAGGCAAGTGTGCAGGTGTAGACTCTTTTAAATAGGGAAGTCATTACTTGTTTCTGTTGTAGTGTCTTAGACCAATCTGGTGGAATCTGCATAAGAGTTTTGTTTGAATTGTTGATGCCTTGGCTTCTGATGAAGGTAGGCATTACTGATCCTGTTCCGAATATTTATTCCAACCCATGATGTTTGTGTTTATGCACACAAGGAAATCATTTCATTCACAGAACAGGCATTCAACTGCTAAAGCCTTAAACACAACAAACAGGGTATTGTACATTTGGCGACGCCAATGCAGTGGCTGAAGGGAGGGAACACCAAGGATTTCATTCTGGTTTATGTACTGTAACTGAAGTCTCTCAACACTGGCTGCTTTTTCAAGTGCTACATCAAACAGGTGACTCTCCTTGTGGAGTAACATTGAAAGGGCCTTCTAGCATGCCACTCCTACCTACTCGACATCAATCTTGAATGGGCAAACTTTTTGGTTTTCATTATGAGGTTTTCTCTTGTCATGGAAGTTCTTTCAGTTTATTGTTTGAGTACAATGTCTTGAAGTTTTAGAGGTTCGTTTCTTATTTATTTATTTCAGTCATCAGTGAATGAACTGTCTGCAAACTGAAGACCCTGGTAAAGTGTACCAGTTATCTACTTTTACATCAATATCCATTAACAACGTTTTACGACATTTTTAGAAGTTTGACACCATTTTGACGAACCTTGCATATCATAGTGTTCACTCTCGTTTTAAGTTTTATTTACGTACCCTGCCATATGAGAAAGAATATACGTCTTTGTTTGACCTTCAGCAGAAGTACAGGAACATCTGCTGTGTTTAAGCACTCAGGGGTGATTTTTAACATGTGACTCACCATAGTGGGTTATTAGCCTGTAAAGGACAAAAAAATGTTGCTGTGACTCCATGAAAGGGACTCTGCCACTTGTCACAAGTGTTTCCTCGGCCCCTTTGATCCCCTTTTGTATGAGTCACGACCGATGTCCCACCAATTTGAAGGTGTCCCTTTGCCAGTCACAGTCGAAAAGAAAGTGAGCAATAAAAGCAACCGTGTCAAAATCCTCAACTTATTACATTAATATTTTTTTCAGTTGTATTAAAATACATGTAAAATAGACCAGTAGACATTTTCTATTAAAAGCCCTTACAAACACAATGAAGTTATTTTACAATGAACCTTTCCTCCAGAGTTCATTGCCAACTCATTCAGATCCATAAAATGTCATTTCTCGTGTTAACATCGTAAACTTTTTTATACGTTAAACAGTCGTTAACTCTTAATATTTATGGCAGGATTAAAGTTCTTAATTCTGTTCCGCTACATAAACCATAATTTGTATTCAGCGTTAGCAGTTGACCAGTGATTAAGCTGCAATTTACTGTTTAAACGTTAATGTTTTGCAGTATTGTATAACCACCACCAGGCCTGCCGCGATAATTGCGATATCAATTTATCGAAGAATATGTAGACATGACCTCAATCATTTTTCTGACCGCGATAATGGCAAATTATCAGAGTTTTAGACAGAGATTTAAATGCAGCACCCGCAAGATTCTGTCACGCACCCACCTGTTCGTCATATTTCTCTCCCGCCCGCAACTTTTAAGTCTCTCCCGGAGAAACTTGTCATTTGATAGTCGCTTTGATAAAATTACAAAAAAATATGTTTGAGCAATGCTTCATTATTTTAATTCTTTTTGTGGGATGCCACGAGTCCCTCCCATACTCTGTTGCTGCGGGTTCCGTGGGAATGTACAGTTCTGTGTAGCAGGTATGAATCAGGCAGCTCCTCCACGCACACAGTGGACAGCAACAGGTGAAGATAATGTGTTACTGGAGGCTAGTAGGTACATGTTTCAATAGCTAGTTTTTTTCTGCCGACTACTGCATAATTAGCTAGAAAGTTTGGAATAATAAGTCTAAATGGATTTGGTTTCACAGCTGCATTCTGCAGCTCCAGTATAGGAACATTTTGACTTTAAGCCGAATGAGAGAGGAGATTCCATTAATGTGAACAAGCTGGTAAGTCGACTTCCTTTAAGAACAGTGGCAGCGAAAAGTGGCAATACAGCTAACCAAAAAACTCATCTAAAACTTAACCATCCCATCCAGTTTTCCGAGATGGGAACAAAACCTGCAGTTGAAGTTGGTGAGGGGCCATCTCAACAGTTGTCTGTTACGGGCGCCTTTGCCTGACAGTGCAAATACAAATGTGACAACACAAAATGGCGCACACGCTCACGGATGCCGTAATTCGTCGTATAGCCAAAGAAATGCCGCCATTACCCACCGTCAAAAAGCTGGCATTTAAAAATAGACTGCAGACTTCTGACAAACAGTACGAATTGCCAAAGAAAACATACATCTCCCAAACTGGCATTCCAAAATGGTGCGACAAAATGAAAGAGGACATTTTGAAGGAGATAAAAGACATCTCCTTTCACTCTGCTACTACAGATACGTGGTCAAGCTCAAATTAGACCTCAAACATGAGCTTGACTGTACGTTACGTCACTGCTGACTGAACTCTGCAGTCGAAATGTTTAGAGACCAGATACTTACCCCAGAAACATTGTGTGGTTTTATTTATACATTCCAATTACAACGTCTGAATATTCTTAAGAATTAAAAGTTCATTATTTTTTGAAAGGGTGTATTTGCTTTATTATGGCATTATGGTTATATCAGTGGCATAAAATGGTCTTAAAATGACAATAATGTTGTTTATTGCCATTATTTCTGGGACAATATATCGTCCAACAAATAAGTATTTATCTTGACAAGCCTAATCGTCATTGTTGTTACGGGGTTTGCAGATGCCGGGAGAGGAGTGGTATTTGTGAAGGCATCTCTCACTATGCTGCTGTTGCGTGACCTAGCAGTGTTTGTCGGTGCAAAGGCCTTCTTGAGAAGGAACGAGATTGCAGTTAAGTAGATGGGGTTTAGATTAACTAGCACAACAAAGCACGTCATGTTTTGCCTTTTCTTTTGGTCCTTTCCTTTTCCTCTTCCTCTTATTAATGTTTTACTTAAGTTTTTCCCGTTCCATGTAAGAACATGTTCTATTCCTTCGTAGCAGTGTAGCCTCGCTTGAAGAACGCGGTTATATAAATACTGCTCCTTGGGTAAGGCCCGTCGTAGCCCAATACGCATGTCAGCGTTCCAGCCAAACCCACTGCGTTAATGTCACGTTAACTGCACCTGTTTGCCGTGGAATGGCGACGCGAGGCGGTTTGGAGGGCGGCTTATCGACGACCCTCCACGTTTTACTTCACAGCAAATGAGGCGGACTTCTCCCCGATCCTAGGGCGGGACGGACGAATGGGCGTGGGATTTAGCTGAGAGATTGTGCTCAGTGGCCCGGCCAGGCCTGCCCACCCCCACCCCTCGCTGTCCCTTTGCAGGCTCGCTCAGGCGTGGTCCCCGTGCAGCGTTCACATTGAACGAGGCTGATTGAACACACTTCATTTCACTTTGTCATTTCGGAGCCCTTTGTTCGCCATCGTCCGCATGTTCGGCTTTTCCAGACCTTATTATTACAGTAAGCCTGTCTGTCAGCCACTTCCCCCAGATTCCTCGGCGCCGAAGCCCGTTCGGCTCGCAAAAACATATTCGGAAGGTTCTGTGTTCTAGCTCAGGGTCGATGGGGGTGGGGGTTGGGGGGGGGATCATACACAAAGATGAAATGGGGCAAAGTGAGAAATGAAAGTTCAGGGAAATTGCATCCTGTTAATTATCGTCCCTGCAGGAGCCTGATTTGTCTGCGTTTTGGTCCGTTGATCTGATCTCGCATTGTCTTTTTTTTGGGGTGTGGGCTGTGTTGAGGAGCTTACAGTCATCAGGACAGCATTTATTTATCTGTTTGTTTGTTTTTTTTGGTTATGTGTTCGAGAGAGAGAGAGACGCCTCTTGGTCATTTTTAAGACCACACAGGGATCAAAGTGTGCATCCGTGACTAATATCGCGAGCTCCACTTGTGCATGAATGGAGAGCAGGATGGAGAGTGACATCTCTGATGTTGAAATTAAGAGCGGGCTTAGCTATGGTTTATTCCCCCTAAATCCCCCCGGAGGTGCGGAGCGGCAGGCGCTCCCCCGGCTCCGCCACCCACCGTCTCCATGGTGATGCCCCTGCACTATCGAACGTCTCGTTTCATGGGGCTGCCACTTTCCTTTATTTATTTATCTCCGGCTACGTCGGGAATGTTGTCACAGAAGTGGGATCCGGCCCCCGGCGGTTTAACTTATCGATTTGGCCACTTGCAGGAGCAAGTTAGATGTTATTTGTTGTGGTGGGGGGTGGGGGGGAGGGACAAAAATGTAGGTTGTGGTTGGGTTGGTATGGAGCAGATGTATGCATGATTACCAGGGTGCGACTACTCTGATACAGTAAAGG